TAGTGTTTATGAGCTTATAAAACATTTCTAAGAATTTATACAATGATCCCAAACAACAATGATATGCTTAGATATTAAATAGGTTCCAAAGGAAAAAAGGAAAATTGCAATCAAATTTTGTAATTCCTTTCATTGATTTCAAATATGTTCACTGCTGAAATAGGAGATTAGAAGATAGGCTATTTAGATAAGGAAAGTGGGAAAAGAAAGCAATTTTCCTGTGGAAGTAAATAGGATTTAAAAATTCTAGCTTGTATTTAGATAACTTCTAAATTTCAGAAGTAATTTAGTCCTTCAGTAGGTAATGCCACTGGTGTGATACAGCATTATATTGAGGCAAGTGTTACCAAGTGGAATGATCAACACTATTTAAAAATATGAAAACAATCAGGTGAATTGATTTAGGATTTGCAATAGTTGTCTTCTGTTATCTACACAAAGAGCTCAGAAATTTTTTTATGTAAATTTTTTTGTAAGAGTGCTCACTCTATATTAGTTCAATTTGATAATATGTGAGAAGCATAAACAACATTATTGCTCCTTTTTCTCCTTTTTTCCTTTAATTCTACTTCTGTGAGTTTTAACCTCTTTGAAGTGATATGCATATATGTATATATATTATGTTTTACTGAATATATATCATACTACTATACATACTTTTATGTGTGTGTGTGTGTGTGCGTGTGTGTGTTTGCGTGTGTGTGTGTGTGTGTATATCTACTCATTTAAGTGAGAGAACTCAAAGCTTACTGGATTTCCAAAGTCTAGGCCATTGACCTCCACGTGATCGTGATCTTTTTAATCTCCTTACTAAATGCTCCTTCCATTACTGATACCAGTTACCTTTTCATTCAGTGTTTTTTTTTGTTTGTTTTTGTTTTTTGTTTTTTTTGTTTTTTTGTTTTTGTTTTTCTGAGATGGATTTTCACTCTTGTTGTCCAGGCTGGAGTGCAATTGCGTGATCTTGGCTCACTGCAGCCTCTACCTCCTGGGTTCAAATGATTCTTCTGCCTCAGCTTTCTGAGTAGCTGGGATTATAGGCATGTGTCACCACGCCCAGCTAATTTTTGTATGTTTAGTAGAGGCGGGGTTTCGCCATGTTGGCCAGGCTGGTCTTGAACCCCTGACCTCGTGATCCACCTGCTGTGGCCTCCCAAAGTGCTGGGATTATAGGAATGGGCCACTGCACCCAGCATCAGCAGCTTTTTAACCTTTTTTTTTTTTTTTGGTAACATTCGATTACAAAAAATCAGAGAACTCAAATCAGCCCACTGGTTATGCATGAAGATGTTACCCTACACCTAGGGAAATTATATCCCTCTTTTAGTGAACATCTTCTCAGATAATAAATGGAAGAATTAGCTTTCTGTGTAGAACATTAAAAAAAAGTAACACATGGTGTCACAATAAAATACATGGATTTTAGTTGTGTATATTGCATATACGTTGATATATAATTAAAAAGAAAAGACATGACTTTTTATTCTTAAGTACCATTCTAGTGTAATTGGTTTTTCTTCTCCAGATAAAAATGTCTTTGTAAAAAAAAAGTTCTAAATATTAAATATTATTTTTTTATATATACTTTAAGTTCTGGGGTACATGTGCAGAATGTGCAGGTTTGTTACATAGTTATACACTTGCCATGGTGGTTTGCTGCATCTATCACCACATCATCTACATTAGGTGTTTCTCCTAATGCTATCCCTCCCTTAGGCCCCCAACCCCTTGCCATCCCTGCCCTATCCCCCGCACTCCCCGACAGACCCCAATGTGTGATGTTCCCTTTCCTGTGTCCATGTGTTCTCACTGTTCAACACCTGCTTATGAGTGAGAATATGTGGTGTTTGGATATTCAATTTTCTTGAAAAGGCCAACAAGTATTGCATAATTTTGAAATCATGCTGTTATAGAATCACAGAAGTAAAAGTTACTCTAGTGAGTATGCTTATTAAAATTTATTAAGATTAGAAAAATGTGCATAACTGAAGTTAATAGAAATGCTTTGCATTAAAGATAAGATGGGCTAAATTACTCTAACAAGTAGACCGAAATGTAATGTCCAACTACAAAGGTTTGTTTCATGTCAGCTCAAGTACCACAACAGAGAGTAGGAAACGGGAGACTGCTCCATGCACTGGAGCTGTTGTGGCTTCCAAGGTCCTCTGGACATAACATCACAATCCTAGTAAACTGGAATGGACAGAGAGCAGACACAAACTCATGGGAGGTTTTATGGGTCAGGTTTAAAAGTGGCATACATCACTCGCAATCTGTTGGCTTAGAGCTCAGTCACATGGGCTTGTAATTCTACCCTCCAATGGAGAATGGGAAATGTAGCCTAGCTGAGGATCCTAGCAGAAGGAGAGAATGGATTTTCATGATTATCTAGCAGTTTCTACTACATGAATCCTTGACTTTGCTTAAAAATTGAGGTGACTTTAAATGATTATGCTAGTAATATAGTCTAGTTTTTCTGATAAGCTTTCATATCCACTCACTTGTTTGTAGGGCAGGGTATTTTAAATATTCATTAAGTAACCTTAATTGGAGACTAAACTTGAGGACTAATGATTTTAGAATAACTAGTCCGATAGAACTGGTAGGAGACCTGAGAGCTTGAGAACCTGAAAGAGGTTACAATAGACTCTTACTCAAAAATGCACATTAAGACATACAGTACTCATACTGAAGGTTCTCAGATACTTAGTGCCCACCTAAGTATGGTGAAGCGCTATCAATTTAGAACATGAAGATAGATGGTTTATTTTGTTGTCTGCAGTAATGTGCTAATAATTGTTTGCTTGTAATAAATTTACACTGCTAAATTATCTTATATGTTAATACTCATGAATAAAACCAAAGACCAGAAAGAGAGATTATCTTCTTGCTGACCCTAAGCAACCAAAGATAGTACAGCTAGTAGAATCATGGGCTTAGACAACACATTTGTCTTTCTTCTTCACTGAAATGCAAGATTTGTGCCTCGATATTATTTCATACTTTTGCCTAAAATATTTTAGATGAAGAGCAATGGGTAAATTTAATGGTCTAGTTAAGTTACTGAGAAGTTATCATCGTATCTCTTACCTTCTACTTAGTCCATAAATGCTGTTACACAAAACAACTTCTCATTTAGTAATTTCTACAGGTAATGCAGAGTGCTCATAGCTTAAATTTTGCTTTATTTGATTATATGGTGCAGATTATTATTTAGCTTAAAAGGAGGATAATTTAAACTAAATTGAATCACTCTACTACTATTGCCTCAGAAGTATTTTAAATCTAAATAGCCTATATATTGGTATTCACTTCTTTTCTCTGAATTCTTTCTAGTTACATATTTTAGTAGTGTTTTCCTCCATTTTACAACATATTTCTCTTTATTTTATTTGAGAAACCCACTTTCCTTATATCTGATTTTCTAGTTTGAGGTCTTTTAATTCTAATGGAGTCTCATGTATTTTCTATTACTTTTTATTGTTAATAAATTATTCGTTATTTGTCTCTAAGATGATTTTAAAAAATCAGGAAATTAGAAATAAGGATTACCATAACTTGTGTAAAGTGTTTTTTTTTTTAAGCTAAAACTGAAAACTGCCATGTTATATTTTAAATATAAAATTTCACCTATAAGTTGATTATGCATATATTTCAAAAATGATAATAAAGCTTAAAAGTAGATAAATATATCCTCAATTCTCTGTTATGTATAATCTGTACATCTCAGTAAAGTCTGAGGGACCAACACAATGTATAAAATAGTATGAAGCTTGCACCAAATATTCAAAAACAAAGATTCTGCAACTATTACACATTTTGAAAAAACACTGAATCACATACCAAATATATTTCCAATTTTATTTTTTGTGACACAATGCACCACTTGGCAGGTATTTCTCAGTAGGACAAAGAATAGCCACCAAAACGCAATTCACATTTTATAACAGCTCCTTGATATCTATTGGAAAGCATCTTTATCTGAAACCCAATCATTACATATTCTTGTGAAAAATTGCAGAATGACCTCTTATAAAATAGTCTGACCTATTATATGTCATGCCATGCATAAATGAGAACATGTCTTAGAATACGTATGATAAGATTTGGTAGAGTGGAAATCTTGATACAGAAACTGCCCCTGCTACACACACACACACACACACACACACACACACACACACACACACACA